AGTTGGTCAGTTTTTCAAAGCCACTGGTCAGTTTCAGTTTGTATGAGAAAATAGACTGACAATTCAGTTCGGTTTCATGAAAACCGAAACCAAACCGATCCTATATGTTTAAGTAGTTATTAATTAGTCCCTACCCTATATGTTAAATGTTGATATATTTTATTTGTGTTTTGTTTGAAATTTGAAAAAAAAAGGTTATTTATGATAAAAACTAAAAACGTAAAACCAATACAAATATAATACAATGGTACAATATTTAATTCAGTTTTGTATAAATTTAAATATATATTGACAAAAAATCAATTTTGCATAAAAAATTAATCGATTTAAATATATATTTTGTTTTTGCATAAAAACAAAAAAGAAATAAACTTAAATATAAATAAATATTTTAGTTTAAAATATATATAAAAACCGGCTAAACTGATAAACCGACCCTTCATGGTCGGTCGGTTTCAGTTTAATCAATAAGTAAACCGACTAGGTCAGGTCGGTTGAAGAAAATGACTCAAATAGACCCAACTCGACCTGTTAACACCCCTACTAATAGGAAATCCTCTACAGGTTTTGAAAAGTCGTGGTTTAGGAAAATGTGAAGAAGTCATGATGAATTTTAGATAATATCCCAATAATGATAGGATGAAATAATTAAGACTAAGCAAACATATGCAAAACAAGTATAAAATGCTAATATTTAAGTTAAAGAATACAAATAAAAATATGTGCAAAGCAATTAGACATTAGAATAACTAAATTTTATAAAATTGAGATAAAAGTTGCACTAGTTATGTGAAGAAACAGAATCTTTGTCGTTAGTGTATAACCATTGTTTTGGTTTTATGGGCATAGGACTTACAAATGAGTCTTGGTTTCCCATGGGTCACTGCTTTGCACTGATCAGTCTTATGTTTCCAGAATTATGACCTATCAATCTATCATTGAATCAATATCCACTAAGGACTAATTTAATTTTAAGGGTAAACTGTCAAAACCTCCCCTGAAGCTTTAGAGTGTTGGTAAAACATCCCCTAAAGTTTGATAATTGCAATCACCTCTCCTGAACTTTATGACACAGTTGCAACTAGAACCCTTCTATTCAAGGCTTTAAAAACTAGACCAGACATGGAACCGTTTTGGCCATGGTTTCCTGGTCAAATGGTCTGATTGTTTGGTTCGTACATCCCACCTGTTTTGATTTAAAAAATAATAATTAAAATAAAAATGGCCAAAAACTATTGTCCAAGTCGACGGGTTGATAGTTCGATCGCCCGGGTCAGCGGGTCACTGACCAAATCAATGGTTTTTGGCCCAAGAACAATTTTAGGGTGAAATGGAACCAGTTGCCTAACCGGTTCCTAGGTCAACTGGTCCTACCATCCAGTCTAGTCCGGTTTTCAAAACTTTGTCTCTATTAGAATCCTCTAAAAAGAGCATGGAAGTGTCTAAAATACACATATAGTTACTATTGAGGCTAGTTTATACAGAAAACAATACAAACTTTATGAAAACAAATAAAATAGAATACAAAGTTATAGTTTTACTTTTGAACAATTGATATGAAGAGAAAATTTGGAAAATAAATCAATTTCAGAATAGAGATTGGAATGATTCATATGTAGAGAAAACTTGGAAAATAAACATTTTAGTCAAAGTAATTATATGGGCATTTTAGACACTTTCATGCCTTTTTTTAGAGGACTCTAAGAGAGGACGTCTACTTGCAACTATGTCTGAAAGCTCAGGGAAGGTGATTGCAAATACCAAATTTCAGGGAGGCTTCAGTAATTTACCCTGATTTTAACCATGACTTAAAGAATTTAGGGTCCAATTGATTTGCAATCGGAATCAAAATCGAAATCCTTCGAAATCGGAATGGCCTATTCCCATAGTCTGTTTGGTTTAGACAGAAATAGGAATGGGAATTGGAATCAACAGGAATGAAATTTCATTCCCAAGGGAGGGGCAAAGAATGGCCATGATATTGCCCAACCCGATGTGTCCCGAACCAAGATCACAATCAAATAATCCTACCAATTGAGTGAAACCGAGGTGGAAGGATGAAGCCGCGCAATGGAATCTGTAATCAAGAAGGAATGTTAGGGGCCCGAGGAGTAGTTGGTCCCCGGGTAAGTGTCGTTCTGAGCAGGGATGAATAGTGTCGTTCTGAGCCATAAAAGCAAAGTAGAAGTATAAAGATCCAAAAGTCCCTTACCATGAACGGAGATTACCTATTTATAGCCGGAGGTCCGTGTCATATTCGAATGAGGCTTCAGGGGTTGTCAGGATGAGGTTGTCCACCGAGGTCTTTGAAATGACTCTTCTTCTCCGACAGGGTTAACTTCCTTGTCTGTGTAAGACTCTCCTTGGTGGCGCTTATCTATCCTATACGGTGCCGACGTGGTCACAGGGATAAAATGGCCGCGGAGGCTGCCACGTGACGTCCATGCATAGCCAGCTCAACCATAAATCAAACAAGCCATTCCCTCAAATGGGGGAATGCCATTTCAGCAGAAATGGGAATAGGATTCCAATTCTGCCTAACCGAACAGTTAGAATCGGAATAACCCATTCCGATTCCAATTCCAAACCCCTATTCCTGCAAACCAAACGGAGCAATTTTGGCCATAATTGGTTCACTACCCTGGGCCTCATTTTCTTAATTCTTACTCATTCTAGGCAAGAATGAATAACATTAGAGTGTTTGGTTACAAAATTCTTTCCTAGGGCCACATTCTTTTTAGAATGAAAAATCAGCCCTATAGCACAAAACTTGACTAGCTTGCAGCATGGAAAATATTCATGCTCCATCTTGGTCATTTCATTATTTGAGGAAACTCTACCTATAAAACTGTTGTCAACTTGCCATAGATGTTTACTTTTTGTGAAAACACTTTTATAAAAGTACTTTTACATGAAAGCACTTTTATGGAAGTACTTTTATAAAAGTACTTTTACGGAATTACTTTTATGAAAGCACTTTTATGGAAGTGCTCCTTCGAAAGTACTTTCATAAAAGCATTTTTATGGAAGTACTTTTACGAAAGCACTTTTATGGAAGCACTTTTATAAAAGTACATTAGTAAAGCACTTTTACGAAAATAATTTTATAAAAGCATTTTTTATAAAAGTACTTTTATAAAAGCACTTTTGCAGAAGTACTTTTACAAAAGCACTTCTATAAAAGTACTTAAAAGTACTTTTATAAAAGCACTTTTATGGAAGTACTTTTACGAAAGCACTTTTATAAAATCAATTTTAAGTACTTTTATAAAAGCACTTTTGTAGTACACTTTTGTAGTACTTTTACAAAAGTACTTTTATAAAAGCACTTCTGTGAAAGTACTTTTATAAAAGCTCTTTTACAAAAGTACTTTTCTAAAAGCATTTTTACGAAAGTACTTTTATAAAGTCACTTTTATGAAAATACTTTTACAAAACATCTATGCCAATTGGTGAACATTGACTATTGGAGACTTAGGTTGGCAGTTTTGTGAATATCAGCACAACTTTTTTTTTTCTTTTTTTTTTTTTTTTAAGAATGAAAATGAGCAACATAAGACACTTGTCAGTCTGAAAAGAATTCGTTTTTAAGAAAAAAGTATTTGGTTCATAACAATATTTTCTCATTCTGCCTATTTTTACCCATTCTTTTCCATTTTAAAATTTTATCTTGGATAAGAATGAAAAAGAATGAGAATTGAACCAAACATGACCTTTATTTCTTCTACTAGAAAATAAAATTGGGCTAGATATTGCTTGTGCCATGGCAGACCCGGGAGCTGTTAATCTGTTGGGTTTGGTTTGGAACCGAGTGAATTAGTCTCAAACTGATTATTATTTGATTCTATAAACTATACTTAGAATCAAACGCATTATTAAATGAGATAATGTTTCTTGACCAAAATTTATTCTTTAGACAAATAATATAACAAAAATTACAAGAAAATGAGAATACAAATATTTAAAATTTCAATAGGTAAAATATGCGTATTATGCAATTTAAACCATGGATTTTTTTTTTCAACCTAATAATTGATGAACAGGCTACTGAGTCTGAGGATGGCTTCTAAGATATGAAGTATTTATTTAAAACCCCCAAATTTATAGTTTTATGGTATATATGACCTTGGATACTGATATGATATATACACGATACAATGCGATGCATATGAGTACTTTAAACATTTCAGATATATGGTCTTAATTGGGTACCAACATAGATCAGATCAGAACTGATATAATCGGTTCCATCCCTTTTTTCTTAATTTTGGATAGAAGATAGGAAAAGCAACAAAAATGTTGATGACATGGAGACCGTTCACGGTGGGACTCGAACCCACAATCTCCCGCTCCGGAGGCGAGCGCCTTATCCATTAGGCCACGCGAACTTAACAATGGGAGAGGCCGTTAAGAACTTAAGACGGTGTGAGCACGGGCTTTCCCTGACCAAAGCCGATCTTATCAAATTGAAGGATCATTTTTCCAAAAAAATCTTTGATTTTTTTTCCAAGAAGGATAGATTCAATGCAGATTTTTGAATTCTACTGTAGACCTATAAACATTCGAAATATCAAAAACTCCCATTTTATAATTGGCATCAATGCACCCACCCCAACTGTATTTCGGCATAAAAATTCTAACTCTGGGCTGAACCGTCATTCTCCCTTTTTTTTTTTCATAGTTTAGAAAAATAGAAAAACAAAACCCATAGATTTTTCATATCCAGAGTTGCGTGCTCCATCGAGTTTCGTAATTGTGCATATAAAAAGGCCAAAATGTTGTAGAAAATTACAGAATCAAAAGTAGTGGCAAAGACAATATCCAAGTGGACGAAGGAAACGCAGAAACGGATGGAACTCAGTATCCCATTGGCCAGAAATCTATCCAAGAGAGATGTTAAGATTTCCTCTAAAGATTTCAGTGGGCCTACCTGGCTCATCACCAACCTTTCCTCCGTCGCACCCTCTCTCGCGTAACGATAAAACCATCTTACTAGCATAGAGAAAGAGATGTCCAAGCAACGCCATTAGTAGTAGCTCTAGCTCAGTCGCTTAGATAATTAGTCACCAGCAAGAAGTAGAGCAAGTAAGGCTACAGAGGGAGACATATGGCAATGTCTGCAACATCTGCTGCTGCACTCCTCAATGGTTTGAGCTCACCCTTCTTGTCTGGCGGCAAGAAGAGCCAGAACTTGCTCACATCGAGCATTGGAGCCAGAGTTGGTGGTGCTGCGGTTGCTCCCCGGAAGCTGATTGTTGCCGCTGCAGCTGCCAAGAAGTCTTGGATTCCGGCTATTAAGGGAGGAGGCAACTTCATTGACCCAGAGTGGCTGGATGGCTCGTAAGTTTCTCATTTTTCTTCCCCTAGACCCCCAATCTTAGGATCATTGATATCTGGTCTGGTGTGCTCAACTTCTGTTGCTTCTATTGAACTTATGCTCTGCTCTTAACTCCTAATTAAGTTGGTTGCTCTGTGCCATTCTCTGCTATTCTGTGCTCCTAATTCTTATTGATTGGTGGTCAGAATCAGATGGACAGTGTTTAGATCATTTAATCAGACTAATAATCTGCTCAATCTATAATGTGCACAACATCTCCTGGTGAATCTGGCCGAGTGCTTGAGTGAGCTTGGGCACGGCCTGTTTTGATTGGGGTTTAACTGAGCTACATTTGATCATACATGCATGCAGGCTCCCAGGAGATTATGGGTTTGACCCATTGGGGCTAGGTAAGGACCCAGCCTTCCTCAAGTGGTACAGAGAAGCTGAGCTGATCCATGGACGATGGGCAATGGCAGCTGTAGTAGGCATCTTCGTTGGCCAGGCCTGGAGTGGGATCCCATGGTTCGAGGCTGGTGCTGACCCAGGTGCAATTGCGCCCTTCTCCTTTGGCTCTCTCTTGGGCACCCAACTCCTGCTCATGGGATGGGTGGAGAGCAAGAGGTGGGTCGATTTCTTCAACCCAGAGTCCCAATCGGTTGAATGGGCCACACCATGGTCTAAAACGGCCGAGAATTTTGCGAACGCCACAGGCGATCAAGGCTACCCTGGTGGTAAATTCTTTGACCCATTGTCATTTGCTGGTACAATCAAGGACGGTGTATACATCCCAGATGTGGAGAAGCTGGAAAGACTGAAGTTGGCAGAGATCAAGCACGCTCGGATCGCCATGTTGGCTATGCTCATTTTCTACTTCGAGGCTGGGCAAGGGAAGACACCTCTTGGAGCTCTCGGTTTGTAAACTTGTTTAATTTAATTAGGCTGTGTACATTTATTTATGTTATTGATTAAGAGACGATCAACCCAAATAGACGACTTAATTGCATCCTGAATCCTGATGATGAGATCCCAAGTCCCACCAAAAAAAAAAAAACGAAAATTCTTTCTTCTTCAATTCTCTTTCCATGGCGTCCTCAGTCTCAGAGAGAGAGAGAGAGAGAGAGAGGGGGTGGGGTTAATTTGTCAGATATTGTCTTTCTGCTTGTTAGTGGCATGACTCAATTCAAGGATGGATAAAACTTAGAAAATGTGCATATTTATGAGTGGTTGTATAGTTAGTTGTGTTGATCCAAGGGCATGTACAATCGAACGGCTGAAGTCTCCGGCGGTTTTACCTGCACGTAAAGAGAATGAGAGCAGCTTCACAGTATCGGACCCGAGATACCAATCTCTCAAACAATATGCAAGAAAGAGTAGCTTAATCTGATTAGAGCTAAAGCTGAGAGGATAATTTTCCTTTCTCAGTAAAGGGCTTTTCTCATAGTGTAGAAGCACTTGGGAGAKATYCCTTAAATAGTCGCTCCTCCAACGTTAAGTTCCTTGACATTAGGAACAATAGTTATCAGAATAACCAATTGAGATAAGCATTAGTATTTATGCTCCACCAGATTTGAGACAAGTGTCTCAACTTGACCAAGGATCCAACCACTTGGTCATCCAGTCTGGACTGGGTCAAATGGACATCCATTGACCTAATAAGAGCTGGAATATGGATCCAAATTATCCAATAACATTGGTATCCCCATGCATGAAAATGTTTTTAAATAAGCAATCAAATAAATTTGTTTTTATAGAAAATAAATAAATAGGTAATTATTTAAAAATAAATGATTGTGTGTGAGAGTGTTGCATGGAGATGACYATCAACTATCAACCATCAACATGTGGCTTGTCACATGGCCATTGGATATTCCAACATGTTGGGGATTAAACGAGGGCCTATGGCCACTCCACCATCATCTCCCACTTGGCCAGTTAGGCCTGAGATGAATGGGAGCCAACCAATCCCATTGCTTCAACGTGCCTTACATAATCTGTAATTGCAATGGGTTTAGTCAACGGGTCAGCAATCATATATTTTGTAGGCACATATTCTACCAGGATCTCATTCCGTTGGTAGACATCATATAAATACCGGTAATGGAGATCTATGTGTTTCCCTTTAGGGCCGATCTCACCATTTTTAATTGTCTTAATGGCAGTTTGGTTGTCATTGAAGATCTTCACAGCTCCTATTGGCACATCAAGAATTCGGAGTTCTTCCAAGAATCTCCTAATCCAAACTACTTCAGATGCCGCGGAGCTACAAGAGATGAACTCAGCTTCTATGGTGAATTTGGCTACACAGCTTTGTTTCTTGCTTGTCCATGAGACAGCACTCCCTCCCAGGAGGAATAAGTACCTGGTTGTGGATTTTCTATCATCCGGGTCACCCGCAAAATCAGCATCACAATAACCCAGTAACTCTAGATCATTTGCATGATAGGTTAATTTGAAGTGTTTTGTTAACTTCAAATATCTAAATATTCTTTTAACAGTCTTCTAATGTATTTTACTTGGGTTACTTTGGTATTTACTGACAAGACCTACTGCATATGAGATATCTGGTCTTGTGCAAAGCATGGCATACATCAAACTACCAATATAGGGTCTATACTTCATTTTCTCTATTTCTTCATCATTAGTGGGTGCCATATCTTTACTTAATTTGGTTCCTTTACAAATTGGAGTTTCAACTCTATTACAATCTTTCATATTAAATTTCTTTAGGATTTTCTCTAGGTAATGCTCTTGTGAAAGAGTTAAGGTTTTAGTATTCCTATCTCTTTCTATTTTAATTCCAAGTACATAGCTTGCATCACCCATGTCTTTCATTTCAAAGTTGGTTTTCAACCAATCTTTGGTGTCATTAATCATGGATACATTATTTCCAGTAATAAGAATATCATCTACATATAAAGAAAGAACAACAAAACTGCTCCCACTATTCAAAGAGTAAACACAATGATCAAATAGATTAGGTATAAATCCAAGTTTAGAAATTACTTCATGGAAGGTATGGTACCACATCCTAGAGGACTGTTTTAAACCATATAATGATTTATTTAATTTATACACCTTATTTTCTTGTCTCTCTATTACATAACCTTTGGGTTGAGTCATGTATATTTCTTCATTCAGCTTTCCATTGAGAAAAGTTGTTTTGACATCTAACTGACATAACTCTAAGTCCGAAAAGGCAACTAAGGACATTAGGATTCCAATAGAGGTAAACTTGGCAACTGGAGAGTAAGTCTCCTCATAATCAATCCATTCTATTTGGGTGTACCCTTTTGCTACTAATCTTGCCTTATATTTTTCTATAGATCCATCAACATTGAGTTTTCTCTTTAATATCCTTTTACACCCTATAGGTTTCTTATTCTTGGGTAAATAAACTAATTCCCAAACCTGGTTTTTGTTTATTGAGTCTAACTCATCTTGTATAGCTTCACACCACTTTTCTTTATCAGGTGCATCCATAGCATCTTCAAAGTCAATTGGATCATCAAGAGACTCTTCATTCAAGTAGGTATAATAATCTTTTAATCTTAATGAAGAGAATCTCTCTTTGAATTCTACCTAAGGTGTCATTATTAGGTGAAGTTTCTCTTTGAATTCTACCTAAGGTGTCATTATTAGGTGAAGATTGTCTATCAGGTGCAGTCTCAGCTTCTATAACTTCTTTGTTTAATTCAAATAAGTTGGGTAAATGTTTATTATCCTTAGTTTGATCTTCTAGAAAAACAACATCCCTGCTCTCTATTAATTCAACTATTCCATCAGATTTATGATTAACAAACCTATACCCTTTGCTATTATCACTGTACCCTATAAAGGTACATCTTAGACTCTTGTTATGTAACTTGCTTCTTTGTTGATTTGACACTCTTACATAGGCACTAGCCCCCCAAATTTTGATGTCAGTCAGGTCTAGTTTTCTACCAGTYCACATTTCATGGGGTGTTAAGCTATTAACTTTAGTTGGAACCTTATTTAGGATATACACAGCAGTATCTAAGGCCTCTCTCCAAAAGTGTGTTCCTAGACTTGAGTGATATAACATTGATCTCACCATATCCAACAAAGTCCTATTTCCCCTTTCTTCCACTCCATTCTGTTGTGGCGTGAAGGACATGGTTAATTGGTGTATGATTCCATTATGTGTACAAAAGTCACTAGATAGGTTAGAGATATATTCTCCACCTCTATCACTCCTAAGAGTTTTTACTTTTCTACCCAATTAGTTTTCTACAAGTGTTTTATACTCTTTAAATTTTTTTAAGACTTYTGATTTTCTTTTAATCAGATACACAAAACCAAWTCTGGAGAAATCATCTATAAAAGTTACAAAATATTCCATACCCCTATGTGCTTTTACATTCAAAGGGCCACAAACATCAGAGTGTATTATAGCCAATAATTCCTCTTATTTCTTTCCCTTCTTAAAAGGGATCCTAGTCATTTTTCCACTAAGGCATGATTCACAATAATTAAAATTCATTTCGATTTTGGGAATTAAGCCATTGGTGCTCATTCTCATCATTTTATCTTTGTTTATGTGACAAAGTCTCATGTGCCATATGTATGCTTTTTCATTCACATGATAAGCATAATCATAACTAGAAAGAGCATCAACTTTATTAATAGTTAAATGATACAATCCATCAGACTTATTCCCAAGCATTAAAGCTCTACCATGCTTTCCTATGGTCATCTTTCCTCCCCTGAAACGTACATCAAAACCCTTTTCATCTAACAGAGGAACAGATAATAAGTTTCTCCTAAAATTGGGTGTATACAATACATCATTAAGGATTAAATTTGTGTTCTCATTTATGGGGATCTTCACTTTTCCAGTTCCAAGCACATCAGTGTAGGTGTTGTTTCCCATGAAAATTCTGTGTTCTCCTGTCTTCATTTCTTTCAATTCCAGGAACATCTCTCTAGTTTTGCAAATATGCTTAGAGGAGCCAGAATCTATGCACCAATTAGAAAGAACAGAATCAGTAAAGTAGGATTCAGAGACTACACACACTATGTCTTTCTTTTCAGTTTTTCCTTTTTCATTATTTGATTTATTCTTCTTGCATTTTGGGCAGTTATATTTTGTATAGCCTTGTTTTCCACAATTAAAACAACGCTTACCCTTAGTCTTCTTGAATCCTTTTGAGAATTTAAATTTCTTGTTAAATTTCTTCCCATTAGCATTTTTGAAAAACTTTCCCTTAGGCTTTTCAACCATTTGGGAAGTTTCAGTTGGTTTGGGAGTAACCATTAAGGATGAAGGTTGGGATTTCTTCCTCTTCCTTTCAACCTCCAATCCTAACAAGGTAGGTAAGTTTTTTATGTTAACTTCTCTTCCAGATAGGTTCAAAGTTGTCACTACTGAATTCCAAGAAGATGGGAGGATATTAAGAATGGTGGAGACCTGAATTTTATCAAGAATAGGGTTCCCAGTGGGTGCCAATTCCTTGGCAATCACATTCATTTTACTAACATAATCTATTACAGAATCCTCTTCTCTCATTTCACAGCCATAATATTTTTCAATTAACAATTGAACATATGTTTCATTTATTTTTCCATATGTTTCTTTAATGGCTTCAAACATGTCTTTATTGTGTTCTTCAAACACAACTTCTATGTCAGGCTCCATAAAGGTTAATAAACAATTTCTTGCCTTCCTATTATCCCTTTCCCATTTTTGATATTCACGGATTACAGTCAAAGAGCCATCATCAGCAAGTTTAGGAGGAATAGGTTTATCTAAAACATAATCAACATTTTCTTCATCAGGTATCCTTCTAATCCTACGTTTCCAGAAAGCAAAATTGGTGTCATTCAGTTTCTCAGTTTTACTGAGTTCTCGAGATAAGGCAGTAGCAGACATGATTCAAAAAAAAAAATAGCAACAATATTCCAGATATAAACAAAGCAAGTGCAATATCAGTTGGCTGTAATTTACGGGACTGTCATTCAATTTCAGAGGCCAAAAATAAATAAATAAAGTAAATGCAAATGGAGTACTTAGCTGTTCATGCAAAACGTATTAGTTTCTCCAGCTCCCACTGTTCCTTTTTAATTCAGTAGCAGCATTGGTATTCGACAATGATGCTTCAATCCRATTTGAAATATCCTCAAGAATGACCGTGAACAGTAAGAAAACGAATGCAAAACGAACAAAATAAATAAATAAATGAATGAAATTCTA